AACTGATTTTGAAAAAAAAAAAAAAAGTTTCCAAAAACTTATTTGTGTTTTAAAAAATTTAAGTGTTATGAAAACAAAATTGTTATCAAAGTGCAAGGGAACAAAATGATGAATATTTGGTTGGTGAGTTTTAGGAATTAAAGGCACCAATTTCGACTCACATATATAGCAGTAAAATATAAATGAGAACTTGATTCGATTCTCAATTGGTTAGAAATCACTGTTTTACAGAACAAGTCAAATGGTCAGAAGTCTATATACCTGTCAATTTCTACACACTTTCTATCATTTCCATCAACTAAACTTCTCTACAAATCACTGTTATTCATGGCTACAATTAGCTTCTAAATGTCTATCACTACTAATCTCATTGGTTTCTTGACATCTACATAATTGAAAAATCATCATCAAGTCCATCTAGTTCTCCCTTTAGATTGTGTTGTTGGATGATCAAAACCGAGGTCCTAACAGCGAATTCAGATCCAGAAAGAACATCCCCTATAGGACCCAATTCCGGACATTGTTGCCAGTCATTCATCCCAAAAGTTAACACCGAGTTGACTCCCCCACCTCGACCGACAATTACGAGTGCATATTGCCCATCCAGCGATTTCAAAGTAGAATACGTCTCGGAGGAACTGGCAAGGTGTTTTTCTACATAAGCAACATGCCCACCGGCCACATACCGTTCGTAAAAATAAGCAAAGCATTCATCGTCTTGTCTCATTTCCTCTTCTTGCTCAGCTTCACTTATCCTGTAAGTCCCAGCTCTTCTTGCAGCATTTTCCGCATCAGCATCTACCAAGAATCTAATCACTGAGAGTTTAACTCCTGGATGCTTTGCTACTCGGCCTGCATAGTATAATGCTTCTCTGTCGTCTTTACCGCCAATGAAGATGACTGCCACATTCTGAGATACATACGACCTTGAAATTTTTTCTACCGTTCCAAGACCTCGATCCACTAGGATTCCCACAGAGCAGGGGGCATTCCTGAGAACCTGTTTGAATGAAATGTGTCAGCTACTGATGCATGAGAAGCATTGGTGACAAAATTTATATGAAACAACAAATTCTCTAAACTTAATCGATCAAAATCTTCACTTTATTTGCACTACACATCCTATAATCAATCAATTCCCTTGTAACTGTATATGTTCTACTAGCATCAATACTAATATACTTGAACGGAACCAGTTATAACTGACTGTGCAGAACTTTCAGTCTTTTAGTATCATTACCTTGCGGTTTACAAAACGGAAACCGGAATGGCCCTCACCCAACGCCCCATTTCCACGCTGGCTCTTGTGGAATGGCAGTATGATAAGAGCTCCCATCAATTCCTCTGCTAAAATGCAAATGTCCTGAGCCATACTATTGAGTGTTGAGAGAGCCAACATTCTTCTGAAGGTAATTCCTTCTCCATTTTCGTCTACATAGCTCTGGACAGCAGCAGTAACTTGGTCTCTCATTTGTGTCACTCCTGTGTGGGTTACCGTCACGGAGTCCACTCCTTCACCTTGCACTAATGTGGCTGCTATTTCATCTGTAAGTTCAATCATGTCTGTGACATAAACAACAACTCCAGGGTTAGCTGCCCCCCGTGAAATCTCCATGATGTTAATGGCTGCGGCTGTGTTCTGAGGTCCATGTATGCATAACAAGATCTTAAGCTCACTTGCTGGATCAAGCAATTGGAGTGCCATTCGATGCGTAGGTGTTCGTTTCCTTGCCCGTTTGATTATATGTGCCACAACTTGCGGGGCATGCACGACTGTGAAGAAGACCACGATTACCATCACAGTGCTCGTAGATGTAGTCGTCTTTCCAGCCTGCATTTGTTCATCATTTATAAGGTGAAATAGTTCGATTTTAGTGCTGTATTTATCAAGATGAAAATACATTGGTAGAAAACGATGAAGCCTCGAGCAAGGGTACTTACTGTTTTCGCAGCAATGGCAAAGTATATATGAAAATGGCCCTTCATGGTTAACAGCAGCCCAAGTGCAACTGATTCAGGCCAATGAAACCCCAAAATTGCCCCAGCAATGATGGTACCAACAACTTTTCCAACAGTTGCWATAGCAAAAAGCACAATCAACCTGACCCATGTCATTATTTGTCCAGGTTCAAAGTCACTTAACTTGGACTCAACTCCCATCCAAAAGAAGAATATGGGATAGAAAACGGTAACTAGTAGGTAGTTAATCTTTCCGATTGCCCACCTTGATACTCTGCCTTCTCGAGGTAAAAATATTCCAGCCAAGTATGCACTGAGAATTGGATTGTAGCCAAATATAGTAGGGCAGCAACAAATGGAGGCCATGAAAGCAATTGCAAGAACCAGGTGAGGACCTTTCATCGGTTTACCCTCGGGGTTTTCATTATTTACCCAGTTCATGAATACCGGTGAAACCTTTGCTGTGAGTACTGTCTGGATCAATAACACAACAGCTAATCGTAAACCTTTGATGAAGGAGATGCGCGTCTCTTGGCAATCACAAAAGAGATAACCGACACAGATCATAAGAGTGGATATAAAATCAGAATGCATCCCAGCAGAAATAACAAGCCGGCCTATGTCTGATTTGCCTATTTTAAGACTGGTGATCAAACGAGTTAGCACGGGAGAGGCTGTGCTAGAGAGAGCAGTTGAGAGGGAGAGGATGAAACTGATCTCTCTGTCCTTTGAAAAGCTGATAAATGGGGTAATGGAGCCAGCTAAGATGAATGTCGAAATCATTCCAGCATAAGCTACTTTAGCATCGCGTGCAGGTGCTTTGAAGAGCACATATGGATCCATCTCCAGTCCCAGCACAAACATGTAGCATGTCATACCGAAGTCAACTATATAACGCAACGTCTTAATCGTCGATATATCAAGTTGTTTCCTTATGAAGTTGCCAACAACCAAACCTACCTGCGTGTTAAATGAAGAAAATCAGGAATCATGAGCATATACAAACTAAGACCAAGAAGGCAAGCCGGTTAGCATAGTTTTTGATTGGAAAAAAAAAAAAAGCCCATCCGAGACTTCTAATTCCTGCTTGAGATGCAAGACTTTGTTGGTATGATTATGAGTACAACTTCAATGCCTTAACAACACCCATTTCAGTGTTATTCGTGGGACTTGAAAAGAAGAAGTCACTCTTAAAGACACTGATTACCCATCTAGAGAGAAAATATAAGGTTCAGATTCTACTTATGGCAGATATAGCTATCAAATTGGCCTCTAGAGGATCCAAAACAATTGAGAAATTCTGACCTAAGAAGAAAGAGAGATAAAAGGTCAGAGTTCCCCCATTTCCTAATACCCATTTCACTGCTCTACCTACTCATGTGAATTTCGAAACACCCAAAAAATCTCAAGCATCAGATTACATTGCCAAGCCAGACACAAAATTTCTGTCTGATCCGAAAATTCTCAAAGAATCGATATCAATTTTGCGGAGAGGAGACGAGACTTACGATGGTATCGGAGGCTATGCGAGGTTGAGAAAAGGGCCTCAAAAGGAAATGCACGCCATTGCAAAGGCCAGCCATGAGAAAGTAGCCCAAAATATACCTCGCCGCCTTCCCGAAAATTTCAGAGAGCCGAATCGTGCACGTATGGTCCGCTAACAATCGCGATGGCTCACGAACCCTGCTCCCCGCCATTGCGCTTCTTCTTCTTCTTCCTTGCGGCATTCCCAATCACCATAAAATCCCTTTTCTGCTGCGAGAAGACGAAGAAACAGAATTCCCCCCCTCGTTTTCCTTCTTCTCTCTCTCTCTCCCTGTTATTCTTTTTCCTTGGAAAATGATAAAACGATTGCACCATCTTTGATCCAACAGGGATGTTCGAGTGGCTGGGATAATCTGCTGAATTTAAGCAGAAAATGAAGGAGCAGTCTCAGGAGGGAGAGCCATGCAAGAGATCAAAACCACATACTTCCATTTCCCATCCCACCGAGGTAAAATCAAACACCAATTTTTGTTTTTAGTTTTCAGCTCTTGATATGCAATATGCAATGCATGGTTGATTGCTTGCAATTGTTGAACAATATAGGGACGAGAATGCAATTTTCCATATTAATGATCTCATACATTGATTTCTTGGTGAAATCTCTTTCTTACCCCTCGACTTGATAACACTCGTCTAAATTTACCCTATGCTTTCAATTTCATGAAACTAACATTCTTTTTCGATACAACCGATGTAGAGATGACGATTTAAGACTCTGATAACGAAAATAGTAGATGCTTTAACTAATGAATTATGTTTCCGTTGGCGTGCTAAATTTTATCTTGAACTTTGATCTTCTACAACCTGTTCAATACAAAATTGATGGTGTTTATTAAGGTTTGTTATTGTTGAAATTTGTGAACTTTTAAATAATTATTAAATGGCTGATTTTTCTGTATCGAATGGGCTAAATTTTGTACAGTTTTTTATTTTTGTTTGAATTAGTGACTTTCACGAAGYCTTTACTTACCATTATCAGGAAGTGAATGTGGTAAAGTTAACATATTTCAATTGATCAAGACATTACTTACCTCCATAAAAGTTTGAGATTTGAATCCCCTATAGATGTTTAATTAAAAAAAGAAAAATAGTGGGTGAATGTAGCGAAAATTGAACAACAGGTAAAAAATGTAAGACTAATGATTTCGTTTAGTAAACAACATGGAAGGAATTATGATTCTGATTTAAAAAAGTTTATGGTAAACAATATCAAAAGGGAATAACATTAATTTCCATTCCGATCCATTCTCATTCCGATTCTTGATTGATAAACCTAACATTAATGGAATTAAAATTTAGGGGGTCATATGTGTTCATTTTGCAGGATTTGTCACAGCAATGTAATAAATTTATCGGATGCTCATGCTTAACCTTTCCTGCAGTAGGAAAGGTTGTTAATTAATTGTGTACATAGGTTTTATTTTAATTAAATTAATACTATCAAAATAGAGCTAATTTTGTTACGAATTTAATGTTATGTTTTATATATCAATGTAAAAATCTTTATATTTAACTTGGGTATAGTTACAACCAGACATCTATCTAGCTCCGACTTCGAATCTCTATCCTCACCTATTGTAATAATATACATATATCTACACACATATGTATGTATGTATATAGGTATACATCATTAATGCATATTTTATGTAATAACATTATTTTCCTTATATATACTCCTACATAGTTTTTTTTAGTACGAGTTGGGATCGAACTCACTCTTAATTTGAGATATATGTCAATTACCGTTGAACTTACTCCTGTATAGTTATTTCCATAAATTACATAATTTCATTTTTTTCAAACGAAGAAGATTTCTTCGTCTCTTTACTTCAAATGAATTCTTAAAAAGCATTTCATGAAAAATTTAAAATGTACAAAACTTTCAACATTTATTTTAATTCTTTAAACATCTTCAGGTAACTGGTATGGTATACCAAAATTTCGACCTTTGTTCTTTCACACCTAGAGGTCATTATGGATATAGTGTTCATAAATTTGGTACTTCCTTTCATTTCAATTCCATTTAGTAAAAATATATCTAAGTGGAAATCCATTCAATTACATACTTTAAGTTAGTAAGATTAAAAAGCTTTTGACTTCTTTATTAAAATCGGTGTGCGTGTATATATATATATTATTTTTTATTTTCAATACAATAACGTAGAATAAGGATTCGAAGTCGTGACCTTTTGATTGAAATATATGTTTTTAACCAGTTTAATTATGTTTAAGTTTGTCATGATGGAGCAAGTTCATGTCGCAAACAATATTTTTTATTTAGACTTTTTGATATAAATTTTCGTAGGACAACGTTTTGCAAGCATGAATTGTTGTGGTTGCAAGGGAGGGTTGTGATAACATGTAACGACGTCGTTGGATTTTGAGTTTGCATTTTCAATACATTGTCTTATTGTATCCTTGCCACGTCGTATTTGTCTAGAACATAGTAGCAGAAGACGACAATGTATAATATTAGATGAATGAACTTTAACTAAATATTTTTTACAAAAGTAGATGTAGACAAAGTTGAAGATGTAGTTTATGCATTTCTTATAAGTAATTTACTATTTTTGTTTTCTCCTGTAATAAGTATGATTTAGCCTTTTTTTTACCCTTTCAAATACACATTCCGTTAGACGGACATTAGAATATCTGTTAGTTCATCCTTATATGATCATACATTCCGTTAGACAGACACTAGAATCTCTGTTAGTTCATCCTTATATGATCATTTTTTGTATTCGATCGTATGATAGAATGAGATGAATTTTAGTCTTAGTATATATAAAACTCAAAATTCAGATACTTATTAAAAATTGAAATTCTAACAACCTTAGAAGTTAAAAGAATTAATTACGCACAATATTGAAAATTCAAGCACATGTTATTATTATTATTTTTTGGTCGAGTTCAACATTTAAATTGGCATATAACCATAATATTAAATATCCGTTGACATGTCGACATTTTCATGTATTCATAGTTTCAACATCGACACAATGATTAATTGACATTTCTATTATATTATAAAATAATCAACAAAATAGGAAAAGTATCAACAAAATATCACAAAATATAAATAATATTAATATTAATAATTTTAAATTGATTTAGAAATAGGAAAAAAATTATTTATTAATTTAAAATTTTGTTACAATTTTTAAATTTATAATATTTAGACAAGTATCCATCAACGTCCATATTTTATCCATTCTTTTTTATTGAAACATCGATAAATCAACCTTGACATTTTTAAATCTTTCATATAACTTCGAACGAAAAAATGAAACACATATATAAAATATATAATTTTAACAATGAAGGTGGCGGAAATAAAAATATAACGGTATGGGATTTTGTGAGAGGCGGGAGAGCACATATATAGCCGAAAATGGAGGGAAAGGAAGCGGAAGGTATAAAATGATGTTGAGTTCGGCCATTTTTGTTTCGGTGGAGGTCTCGGAGATCCGGTGCTCTCGCGCTCACCTACCGAACGTCAATTCTTTCACCAATCTCTCGAGGGCAATCGAATCCCACCGCCGGTCCTCCCCCCCAAGCACCGCCGGTCAATTCTATTCAGTTATCCGAATCCCGAAGCATTTTGGATTCTATCGATCTTTGCGTCACGATCGCTCCACCGGAGTTCCGAATCGGAGGTATCTGTTTGTTTTAAGGGGAGCATTGGGGGTTCCTTCTCGTTAGGGTTGAAAGAATCGGAATGGTTGCGGGGCAAGTGATGATGCCTGTGTGTGAAAGTTTGTGTTTCTTTTGCCCTGCATTGCGCGCGAGGTCGAGGCATCCTATCAAGCGATACAAGAAGCTGCTCGCTGATATCTTTCCTCGCTCTCAGGTCCCGTATCTATCTCTTTCTTTGTGAAAAAACTATCAGATCTTTTTTTGTATTGTTTGTTGGTCAAGGAAATTGAGTTGAACGCAAAGCCCTTTTTGGTCAAGTTTTGAATAGGTTCTTCTACCAATCCCCTCATGGTCCTTGCTTAACTTATTGTTCTGTAAACTGGTCGCCAATCATTTTTTGAGGGCTAAATTTTACATACATCCTTCGATTATGAAAATTTAGGGGTAATTTATAGAGAAAACTATAAAATCTTAACAGTTTAATATATATATATATATATATTTAAAAACTAAATTGAACTAGGAGGGTCCTCATCCTCCTTCCTTCTTCCCTCCGTTCCTCTTGCAAGAGCCCAACCCGGTTTGCTCCCCTGGCCTTCTTACTAATCTGCCTCATTTTTTCTCTGATGGAATATAACAATGCCTACAGTCCCGATTTACCAGCACTGGAAGTCTACTAATGAATGAACCTCCAAAGTCCAAAACGACTTTCTTTTATAACAAAATAAATCAAGCCTACTGGGTCATACTTATTGATATTGGTTGAGTTTGAGGAGCTTGGTTGACTGAAACGAACCATAAATGTGGACCATTGTCAGGGGAGAGGGCTAATTTATTTTCACGTGGACTGCTATTTTCTGTTAATACTTAAGATAGCTGCATATCTTATCAAGGGGAATGTCAAGTTAGAGTTGTTAAATTCTCATACCATATCAATCTTATTCGGTTAAAACCCTCCTTTTTAATACTTTTTTGGATAGAGTTATGGTTCTAGCCTTGGGTTGGTGGAAATGTTTTTATTCTCCCTTTAACAACTACTCTCTTAATGAACTTATTACAAGTTGGAGAGCTTTCTTGTAATTATTCTCTTAACGAACTTATTACAAGTTGCCCATGTTGATTATAATGTGTGTTAGTGTTTTTTGTGCCCAAAAGCTCTGTAAGTTCAATTTTCCATTTAATCTCACAAGAACTCGGTTCTGATATTGAACCTTCTCTTTCATGTTATGGCAGGATGAAGAACCTAATGACAGGAAGATTAGTAAATTGTGTGAATATGCATCCAAAAATCCTTTCCGTATGCCCAAGGTGCCACTGCCTGACTTTTATTTTCAATAATATCTTGGAATCATGCTCTTGTATTATTCTGAAAAATGACTTATTTACGTTAAGTTTTTTTTGTCACTTTACATTTCACAATCTAGAGTAAACAATAGTATGTAGCAGTTGCTATGTGGATTTAACTGTTATTACAAGGAGGTTACGGAATCCCCTTAGCATGGAAGACAGAAGTGCAGAACTATTTTGATAGGAATCAATCATTGCAGATTTCTCCCTCCTCTCAGTTTCTCCCTTGAGAAATCATATAATGTAGGAGTTGATAATTTGAAGGTCTCTGGGTAACTTATGGACTTACTTTTGTCTTTGCATGATCATGCTCTGTAAAACTGCGTCTGTTTACTTTGTCTTGATAAAAGTTTGATTTGGATACTCATACTCTAATAATGCTTTCTTCCTATTAAAATTTAATTGCCTATTTGAGAGATAACATTTTCCCGATGCAAGCTTCTTTAAGTTTTTTTTTTCCCTTCCCCACCTTTATTTTGGCTACGTCAGTTGTTTGTCATTACCATAGTTTCATTGTGTGGCCCCTTGCACATGGGGCCATATTACTTTTCTGATTTACCTTTATAACATTGCTATTTTTACTCTTAATCATTTGATACTTCCATGAAATTTTAATATTATTTTTGCAGATCACTAGTTATCTTGAGCATAGATTTTACAGGGAATTGAGAAACGAGCGACTTCACTCTGTTAAAGTCATCATATGTATCTACAGAAAGCTGTTGATTTCTTGTAAAGAGCAAATGTAAGTTCCTATTTAATTTTGTAATGGCAGTGAAATATTTGAATAAGTGTACCTTTCTATGAGATGCCAATAGAAAGTGCACCAGGAATGCTAGACATGGTTGAGTGGTGCTAGTTGCTAATTTATGCTTACATCTTAGTCGTATCAATGACTTTCTGAATCAAGTAGAATTTATTCATGGCAATTGAATGAACTCAGCTCTGGCACATGATATATTTTACCCTCTTCCCCCATCTCAAACAAACAAATTCCTGCCTTTTTCAGAATACTTGTTAACTAGAGCAGTTGTGGATGACCGTGCGTGCAAATATTTAGGAATTACTTTGCTCTATGAACAAACGGTTGTACTGTGATTACTCTTCATTTTTACTTTTCACATTACTTAGCGTCTAATGCCTACTATTTAGACTTGCATTAGGACCAATTGGCCAAGTTATATAATTCAGGCTGCCGTATCTTTGAGTTACAATGGTATTGCCGATAGTGATATGCAGGACAAGAGTACAATGTTTATTATGAATGATCACAAGGTAATTTAATTGTATTTCACTATTAGTGTCACTTGCATTTTTAAGCTTCAAGGTTCTACCATATTTCACTCAAATTCCTAGTTTCAAACTGGTCAAAAATAGTATGGTACGGGAAATAAATATTTTTGTGCTCTTTTTCTTTTTACAATTAATTTTGATAGGATTATCTCTACACTTGGTGCTCCCCTTTTTGTAATATATATATATAATGGATGAAGTTACGTATCTGTGCAAGGATTTATTAATGGCCTCAAGTATCTGTTCCTCACACGTCGTGATCGTGGAGAACTTTAGGCTACACCAAATAAAACAATTAAACCAAAAATATAAAACTAACTCACTACATCAGATCGGATTTCAAATTAATGATTTCTGTTCACTTCTTTATTAAAATTTTGTGATTCATATGTAAAATAATATTGTTGAAGTAAAAAATCATGATAACTTTTTAGCCCAATGAATATAATTCGTCTATGTTTTGCGGAAATATTTTCAATAGGTGGATAATAGGCATTCTTATTGATTTGTGATGTCTCCTGACCTTAAAATGTATTACTTACATGCATTTGAAAGTTGTAATCGGCATAAATAACTATTGCAGGCCTCTATTTGCAAGTAGTTTGCTTGGAATCATCCACATCCTACTAGATCAAGCACGTCATGATGAAATGCGAATTTTAGGATGCCAATCTCTCTTCGATTTTGTTAATAACCAAGTAAGGTTTTCTTCTATTACCTTGTATTTTGGTTATAGATCTTGTCTATTACTTGGTCTTTTGGTTCCTTTGTTTGGTTGTTTTTCTTCTTTTTTCGCTTCTTTTGGGAGCTTGTATCCTTGAACGTTTTTCTTCCTTTTCATATTATCAATGAAAAGTTTGTTTCTTGTTAAAAAAAGAGCCAAGTAAGGTTTTCCAGTATGGTGGGGCTTACTTTTTAGATAGTTGTTTGGTCAGTTTTTGGAAGAATGTGATGAATTAACTCCAGGTCGTTCCTTGCAAGTCCTCATTATATTTATGTACTTTTATTGACTATGCAGAGGGATGGTACCTATATGTTTAACTTAGATGGATTGATTCCCAAACTTTGCCTTTTAGCGCAAGAAATAGGAGAGGAAGGGAGAGAAAAACAAATGCGTTCTGCTGGCCTTCAAGCCCTCTCATCTATGGTAAGCTGCATTACATTTATTTGGCTGTAGTACTATGTATTATATCTTTATGCACGTATTTAATGTGTTGGTATTTCAAAGTCAGTAGACTGATTTTCCAACTCCATTTCTTTTGTATATTGGAAGATAGAGTGGAAAAATGATCTTCAAAATGAAGCCCACAAACATTTCTTTTGCAAGGTCCTAGTTCTTGATTGACTGAAGCCATTAAAAGGACGTTTTGGATTTAAAAATATGTTTGAGATCTTTATTTGGGGGTTTGGTTAAAGAAAGTAGTTGAGAGGAATAATTCAGTATGAACAAAAACGCAGTTACAGAGAAATTCTATAAAAAACAATGTAGTAGCCTACCTAGGAAGGAAAATTTTCAGCTTCCCTATGATATGCATATGCACTGATGACCAGAGTGGAAAACTACTTGTTCAAAATCAAGCCCAAAAACCAATCCCTTTGAAACGTGTCCTACTTTGACTGACTGAAGCTGAAATTTTGGGTTGGAAAAGTGGCCTTTGAGACCGCCTTTCTGGGGTTGGTCCTTTTTTGGGATTTGTAGCTTTGAACACTTTTGATAAAATTTCATATCTTGCTCAAAAAGATACAATTACTTAATGAAAAATTTTTGCACACTTTTTTTAATTGCTAAAAAAATCGGGACTGCTGGTATGTTCAAGTGGCAAGAAACGTGGATGGTTGGATCTTAGAATGCTTTCACGGGTGGCACCTCAAAGGGAAGGCTAGAGTTTTGTGGAGATGTGCTTTTAGAGCTCTGTAAAGGAATACCCGCTCCTTCGAGGACAAAGCTAAGTCTTGGGATTCTTTTTGTAATAGTCTTCAAGTTTTAGCATCTTGGTGGTGCCTTAGATATGAAATTCTTTTGTAATTACCGCCTTTCTTTGATTTTACAAGATTGAAGAGCTTTTCTGTGATAGTTTTTGGAAAGGGGACCGCCTTGGCCCCTGTCCGTAGGCTGTTCTTTTGTTTTTTTAATGAATCGTTTCTTATCCAAAAAAAAAAAAAAGAAACAAGTGGCAAGAATCTACATTGTGAAGGTGGTATCACCTGCATTAGGGGGAGGGAGAGGCATTGAAGCAGGATGCCCACTGTAACAATTCTGAATTTTGTTGACAATACCCGAAAGTTTTTTTTTGGGGGATACAAAAAAGAACCTAAATACAAATTGTTGTCCTGAACTATTTTTTCTTTTCCAATGTCAGCTTTCTTGTGTACCTTTTAACATTTAAATCACATTCCAGTTCTCTCATTTAGTGCAATTATTTCTGTTGGAATATCATATTTGCTTTCTTGTTAGTTTGGACATTATTTTCTTATCTGAGTGTTCAATCTGCAGATTTGGTTTATGGGTGAATTTTCCAACATATCAGCAGAATTTGACAATGTGAGTTGCTTTGGATTTATCGCATAATTATCTTTTTTTGGCTCTGGTTCCTGATAGTACAGCCTTTTTACCCGTGTCTTCCTACTCTTTTTCCATATTTGTTCTCTGCTATATCCCCATCAAATTGAACAAGTACGAGGAAGCAAGATTGACAATTTACTTTTAAAAAAAAAAAAAAAAGATTGACAAGTTAGAGAATTTCATTTGTCACTGTGTCTTGTGATAAATATACTAGTCTCTGATAAATTTTCTTGTTTATTCTAGATATTTCACTTGTTTCCTTGTTGTTATTTCTTCTGTTGGTGGTATAAATTTTGTCTAAAATTTAGTAGCATTTTCACCTTCCATGAATTAGGTTATTTCTGTTGTCTTGGATAATTATGGGGATCTTAAAAATACTTCCAGTTCTTCTGCCCACAATGAGAAAGATACTCAGGATGCAACTGCAGTAGTTTCCCATTCACGCGAACACATAACAAGGATGTGTTCATGGAGGATGATAGTTACTGAAAAGGGGGAAATGATTGTGTCTCTGTAAGTCCACGTCTCAGCATTCCATGATTATATTTGCATATCAATTTTACAAGTCTTATCATTGTTATATCTAACAGGGAAGATGCTCAGAACCCAGAATTTTGGTCAAGGGTTTGCCTGCATAATATTGCTAAGTTGGCTAAGGAAGCTACAACTATGCGGCGTGTCTTGGAATCTTTCTTCCGCTATCTTGATAATGGCAATCTCTGGTCTCCAAAACTTGGGCTTGGTCTTTCCATCTTGGTAGATATGCAAGTAATAATGGAGACTTTAGGTAATATTATCCTTTGAGATTTTTATAAAGTTGGTGCATTTGAGATCTAAATTACTTATTCCCACTTATTCTTATATTTCCATAATTTTACTAGTGGTTCTTATGAAATTCATTTATTTGTTACAGGGCACAACTCACACTTTATGCTTGCAATTCTCATCAAGCACCTCGATCACAAGAATGTTCTAAAAAATCCTATCATGCAGATTGACATTGTTAATGTCGCCACCTCCCTTGCTCAGCGTACAAATGCCCAACCATCTGTCGCCATAATCGGTGCACTAAGTGATATGATGAGACATCTTCGAAAAAGTATACATTGCTCCCTTGATGATGCTAACTTGGGAGCGGAAATTGTACAATGGAACCAGAAACACCAAGCTTCAGTTGATGCTTGCCTTGTGGAGTTGTCCCAAAAGGTAATTATGCTTTCATTTGTGTTTTTCTCAAGAGCGATTGTTTGGTTGAAGATACCCATAAAACCGCTAACTAAAGATTCTTTACTGACTTCATGAGTTACCAGGAAAAACCTATTTAGAGGCCCCTCCATTACAACATTCCCACATTACTATTAATAAAGATTGCAATTATTATGGTAGGAGAGCATTCCTTTGAGATTGCAAGTAGAAAAATCCATGAATGGAGGAAGAAATCGATATCTATTTTCAGCAAACTTATGGTGACCAGCATAATCCTTGACCATCTAGCCTCACCATGGAGCATGCTATGGATGGGCTTGGGACAAACATCAGCCGTGAATCAACCTTTGAAGAAATATATGAAAATGAGACAACGCCAGTCATCCTAGCCAACCTAGGCAGCCTAGCAAGCTACCAAGGAAAAAGGTGCAAAAAAGGGCCAGGGCTATGTCCACCAATAAATATTGCTTCAACATTAGCTCCAAGAAGGCCCACCTCTGGTGCAAGCTTTGTGATTACTGACCCTGATGAGAGTGATATTCAGGGTGAGTTACAGCAACAACCAAGATTTTAAGAAAATGACATGCTTTTGGCCAACCTGAAGCCTCAAAGTTTGGGATGAAGATTGACCTACCCTCATTTGATGGATGGTGGAATGTTGAATAGCCTTGTGATTGGGTAAAAAAATGTAGAGAGTTTCTTCGTGTACACCAAGGATAAGAGAGTCAAGCTTCTTGCAGTTAACTTAAATCCAGCCTTGATGTCACGAGCTTGTAGCACTTGGCATGGTAGGACCAACCGCAAGCAATTGGAAAAGAGTAGGGGAAATGCCTATAAGCTTGTGGCCTACATTGTGTAGAATCGCAGACTATTGAAGGAATACTCATACCCACAAATTGTGAGCAACTACTATTATGATTAATATCATAATTCCCGCCTAGGAAGTAGGAGAGTGGCTGAATACATTGATGGATTTTTATGACCGAATGCAAGGAATAACATTAGTGCGACAAAATGCCAGTAATTTCAAGAGTCATTGCAGCCCATAACCTATCTCACAGAGACTGTGACACTAGTCCTCAAGATTGAAAAATAGCTCAATAAGGCAGCTATCTCACAGTGACTGTGAAACTAGTCCTCAAGATTAAAAAATAGCTCAATAAGGCAGCTAGCTAAGCTATCCAGTGAAACAAGTGCTGAACTTGCATATGAGTACACAATCAGCCACAAAAGGACATCATGGACGGCCCGACAAATCAACAAAAGTGCAAGAATGAATGAGTGAACAAAATGGGACTAATTACTACCAACGCTACCTACAACTTATTCAAGAACTTGAACATCAAATGCTATAGGCTCTAAATAGGACACATGTCAAATGAATGAACTCCTATGTAAGCCTATTGGGTTATAGGATATGCTACAATAAGAACCAGAGAACGGAATGGCATCTTAAGGTGAAGTCATCTTAAGGGAGTTGTTTCGTTAGAGGAAGACAGAAGGTAAATGAGTTTTTTTACATCAGCCCTATTGAATTATCAAGTAGCCTACCCCCACTAGGAGACCATTTTCTTGGTGCTACCTTACCTAATTTTCCCCATCATGGGATGGACCTTTAACACAAGGGACTCATTTAGCCAAGTATGAGTTCACGTGCAGTACTCACACTTTACAGTTACTTGATCTCCTAGGTTAATTAAGAGGTGTATAGTCTTCTTTAAATTAGTTTGGAAAAATGGATATATTAGATTATGGCCTGCAGACCTGTGGAAAGCAACTTTTATTCAAGAGTGAAGGAGGGTTTTTTGAATGACTAGTAAATGCCCCGGGTAGGTTCACCCCGGTTTAACCACCTCTTTT